TTAGTGTAGCAGGACCCTCCTAAACAATGAGATTTAGATTAGCAGGACCCTTCTGGACAATGGGATTAGTAGGACCCTCCTACATATGGGATTTGGTTACTTTCTCCTAGGATATACACTTCCTAGTCTGAGATCGTTAATTTTTATTTTTTCCTAGGATAAGCACTTCCTAGTCTGAGTTTATTATTTTATTTATTTATTTTAATTTGCTAATAACTCACAAAAAATTTCCAGTGAAAACTGGGGCAAAATTTTTGTTTTTTCTTTTGTTTGTGATGGTTTTCAGGTTTTTTCAAGCGAAACATGGATTTGAAATTCAAGAACAAAGTTTCAACTTCTTTCAAAATGATCAATCCCATGATAGCCAGAATCAACTTCTTCAATGCATGTACCAGGAGAAAATGACCAAAATTGTCCCTTATCTTTGCCTTAAAACTCAAAATGATCCTTACCTTTTCATATGGAGCACTAATGATCCTTCTTCTTTGTAAAAATGGTACAGCTTTAGTCTTTAAAGTATTTTCCGTCTATCACTAACGGAAGTTGGTCATATGCACGTGATTGCATTAAATTGATATGACCACTCGCTGACAATGAGACTGCTCATTGAATTAAACACAATCAAAATTAATAACTCAAAGTGACAAAATATGAATATTGACTTATTGATAATGGTTTATTAAATTTATGATTTCGTAAAAATAATAGCTTTTGAAATGAATAATGAAAGGGTAGAGTGTGCACACATCTTACATCTACCTTCTCAAATAAAAAAATTATTTTTGAAAGATTTTTTCCTTGTCTTACCTCTACCTTCTCAGATAAAAATATTATTTTTGAAAGATCAATTTCTTATCTTACCTCTACCTTCTCAGATAATAATATTAATTTTGAAAGATCCATGGCTCAAAATAATTTACAATTCGGTAATAGTTTAGATTATAATTATTTTTGTGGATTGTTAATTCTATAATGGTTTATGATTTTTCTTAACGGGAAACGGATAATTTGATAATAATTATTATAATTACAATTTTATGCTTAATCGTTAATAACAAGCTCTTATTTTAGACGTATTTTTTTCTGAAATTCTAGATAATTTACATGTTTTGCTTTGTTAGATCAATAGTTACATATTAATAATATATAATATATTTTTAGGTTTATCGTAATCTTTTCATTTGTACTTCTGGATATGCATATTTAATTTGGATATTGATGATATATTTAACTTTATAATATATAATATTGTATTTTTTATGTTGCATACTGTTGAATTGTCACTTAACTTGATTATGTTTCGATGTTTATTTTAATAAAAAAAATTAATAGTTAATTGACAATCAATACATTAATAACCCATATCCTAATTTTTCTATAATGATTTAGTATTTTTATAAATTAATAAATCGAACTAATATATGAGGTGAATATTAATTGTGAATACCGTGGATCTTTCAAAATTAATATTATTATCTGAGAAGGTAGAGGTAAGATAAGAAATTGATCTTTCAAAAATAATATTTTTATCTGAGGGGTAGAGGTAAGACAAGAAAAAAATCTTTCAAAAATAATTTTTTTATTTGAGAAGGTAGATGTAAGATGTGTGCACACTCTACCCTTTCATTATTCATTTCAAAAGCTATTATTTTTACGAAATCATAAATTTAATAAACCATTATCAATAAGTCAATATTCATATTTTGTCACTTTGAGTTATTAATTTTGATTGTGTTTAATTCAATGAGCAGTCTCATTGTCAGCGAGTGGTCATATCAATTTAATGCAATCACGTGCATATGACCAACTTCCGTTAGTGATAGACGGAAAATACTTTAAAGACTAAAGCTGTACCATTTTTACAAAGAAGAAGGATCATTAGTGCTCCATATGAAAAGGTAAGGATCATTTTGAGTTTTAAGGCAAAGATAAGGGACAATTTTGGTCCTTTTCTCTTCCATTCTGTGTTGAAACAATAGTCGGTAGTAGTGAACTAACCGCGGGCTGGGCTTAGAACAAAAAAAAGCCCAATAAAAAGTTGACCCAAGTTCAGTTCCATGGGCTGCACGTAAGCCCAAATTCATCACTTTCTCTTTCTTTCAACCCGCTCTTAAACCTTCTCAAAACCCTCTCTCAGTTCCTCCTCTTCTTCTTCTTCTTCTTCTCCTACAATACAATGTCTGTAATGGATTCAGAAGCCTTCAAATCGGAGCTTGCATCTGTTGTTTCTTCCCTAGGGTTTGCTACTTCTGCTGTGCCTTCTTCTGGTTTCGACGACTCCGACTTCCGCAAGAAAGGTCGCATCAAATCTGAGAAAAAGCCACCTTCTAAGGATAATAATAATAATACTAATAAAGACTCTCAACATGGAAGCGAAAACAAGAACAACAAAAAGAGAATCAACAACGATAAATTTGGCAAAAAACCGAAGCCGGAACTTCAAGTCGACAATAATTTATGGAATACAACTCCCGGCAAGTACAAAAACATGCCGAAACTTCCACTTGTGAAAGCGAGCGCATTGGCTGTGTGGTACGTTGATGCAGGAGAATTGGAGGACAAGGTTATTGGGAGTGACAGGAAGAATAAAATTGCCGAGTTTAAGAATGTCAATGAATGGAAAAGCAAGGTGGAGAAGAAGAAGGAATTGGGCGAGAGGTTATTGGCCCAGTATGCGCAGGACTATGAGTCGTCTCGAGGACAAAGTGGCGATATAAAGATGTTACTTACCACGCTAAGGTCAGGGACTGCTGCTGACAAGATATCTGCTTTTTCTGTCATGATTGGGGATAATCCCACTGCCAATTTGAGATCGCTTGATGCTCTCTTGGGTATTTATTCTTCTCTCACTATCTGTTGAATTTAGGAAGAATCCTTAGGACTATCTCAAACTTTTTCATAGTCATTGTATTTTAGCTCTCATGTTATCATCTTGTATTAGTTTTTTAATTTTATCTTGTTCGAGTCATGCTATAGTTAATTTCTTGATATCCTTCAGCAAGTATATGTTATATACTATCACTTGCTCTACAATTTTTTCGCCAAGTTTAAGTTACAAAGAAATGTAGACGCTGTCAAACTTTGACTAACGTGAGGCAAAAGACTAATGAAGAGCTGAACTCTGCAGCATTTGTACCTTCAACAACATTAGAGATGCTCATTTCATAACTCATTGAGTCATTGCAGTAGTTTTATTTATGTAAAGTCAACATGTAATGTAAGGATCCTTCATTTTGTCAGATCTTGAATCTAGGAAGATATGTATTTCAATCAAGGAGGTTAATTTTAGGTGTAGTGATATGCAAAAGGCAAAGTTAAACTTTGCGATGATAATGTTAGGTGAATCAAAAACGTGAAGGAGGATCAGTTAAAATTTCTTCTCCTTCATTGACTGGCCCCTAAGGAAAGAGCAAAAAAGAAAAATACCGAAAACTTTCCCATTACTTAGTTTAGCTTTCTAAATCCTCTTATTCTTATGTACCCCATTCTTTACTTTTCTATCCTTTTTGCTATACTTGTTCTCAATTAGGATCTTTTTCGTAACTTTCTGGTATTGGTACTTCATAATTCTTATTAATTTTGCACATGGTTTGCATCCTAGATAATTAAATTTTTAATCGTTCCTTTCTCTAGTCTTAGAAAGATTCAGTATTGAGATTCTTTCTGGTGGGATTGTTTGTCATTAGTGCTTGTCTCTAATCAATTTAAATAATTGCATGTAGGGATGGTGACAGCTAAAGTTGGAAAGCGCCATGCTTTGGCAGGTTTGGAAGCATTGAAAGAACTTTTTGTTTCTAGGTGAGTTAAACTTTTTTTCCCTTTCTTATTGATCATCCTTATTATGCTTAGTTGCCTCATTGTTTGACTATGAAGAATTCCATCTATCCAGTTTGCTGCCTGATCGCAAATTGAAGACACTCTTTCAGCGGCCGATAGATCATATTCCGGATACAAAAGATGGTTACTCACTTCTACTCTTTTGGTATTGGGAGGAATGTTTGAAGCAAAGGTACACTTAAGCCGAAATTTTGAACAAGTGTTTCATGGTAACATTTATTTGAGCTCCAAATACTGAAGTATATGTGAAGCATTCATTTAGAACTTGAGCCAATTTGGAGGAGTGGGCCAAGGCGACCCATGGCCCTACATGGTTGATGGTCATTGAGTGTTCTGTCCCTCATCTTAATGCATTTAATATAGTTTGTTCTGATGAGGGGAAATGATACCTTGGTTGGACTCCTATGTTCCTTTTGGTTATTGCTAAATCTTACGCATATATACTGCATTCATGGCTGGAAGTTTGTAATGTACCAATTACCATAGGTGTAGGTGGTAGGTTGACCATGATCCACCAGAAGTTTTATGTTCATATGCCTCATGTGCTTGTATTTCCATGATACCTACCGTCAATGTGGAGAATGGACATTTTGCACTTGGATATATTTGATATTACTCTAATCATGTTCCTGAATTGAGGGTTGATCTAAACTTCAGTTTATATGTCTGTTTATTTGTTACCATGTTGATCTTCAGCTAAATAGGCTTTTCTGTTTCAGGTATGAGAGGTATATCGCTGCTCTTGAGGAAGCATCAAGAGATGTCTTAGATATACTCAAAGACAAGGCATTAAAGGTTGTTATTGACAGCTTTATTGCACATCTATACAGTTACCTATCTATGTTTCTCCTCAAAGCACATTCTTATTCAATGTTTTTAGCTAATTGCATCTTAGAAAAGGAGAAAAGAATGACTTGTGAGAACACCCTTTTGTTGCTTCTTGCTTTTTACTAATTGGAACCTATAATCTGAGTGGAACTCAGCAACTGCTAACTTAACCATAATTTATTGATGACTGGCGAGAACACCTTTTAAGGCTGCTTTCTGTTTACACAATCGGGACCTACAAATTGGTGAAACTCAGCAACTGCTAACCCAAACAAAAAATTTACCTTGCAAACTGTTTGGAGGATCACAAGTCACAATGATCTTTTTCTCAGAATAGAGTAATTTATTAGGACACTACCTTCAACCAAATAGTGTTGATAAGCTTCTACAAAATTAGGATAGCTTGACCACTCGCCAAAGCTTTTGCTATCAAACCATACGGATATTTTGATTTAAAGTTGATAAAATTGTTTATAGGTAACAAGTACTTTTTCTTTTGATCAACGGTACTCATTTAGCTTCTTTTGTAGTAGTTGCATTAAATATTCTGATCTGACGTCATGATTTCGTATTGCATCTTCACCGCAGCTGGGTTTCCTGTAATTGATATTTTCTGAGGGTCCATTTGTTGTTGAAGACTTCAATGTTTTCTCGGGGTTTAAAGCTTATTTGACATAAATTCTTGGGGTTTAAAGTTGTATCTGAGTCTTTTTGGTGTTTGTGATGCAATATAATCTCATGTAGCTATTGTTGTCCTGAAAAGTGAGGAAATACTAATATGTAAAGTTATGTTTTGTAGACAGTTTACGTTTTGCTAAAGTGCAAACCAGAACAAGAGTGTCGATTGCTTGCTGCCCTAGTAAACAAGGTATGCCGTTTTACCTCATTGCTTTTTGTGCCATTTACTTTGTCCCGAGAGTTCTTGGGACCATGGAGCTCCAGCTGATATTTCTTCCCTTCGTTGCAGCTAGGAGATCCTAAAAACAAGGTTGCATCTAATGCTGATTATCACCTATCAAAGCTTTTGGCTGACCATCCAAATATGAAGGTAAACCAACATATTTGGTTGAACTTGCTTAGACATACAAATACTGATAATTTAAAAAGAAGAATCAAACAGCTTATTTCTTCAAAAGAAAAAAAATGAAGCAAACAGCTGTGGGACGATGTTAGCTCTAGATTTCTAAGTTGGCTTCAAGGAGTGACACTCAAAATGAAAAGTCTACTTTCAAGAGTGCGCTTAGAAAGCCCATCTGAAGGATGTTTTTCATGCATAAATCTATTCCATGTAAAATGGAGTGAAGTGGTGTAGTCGTAATTTTATTGCAAATCAAATTGTTAGAAGTTGGTACAAATACAAATCTAACTTGGTTGTGATATTTGAATGAGGCCAAGCAGGATAATGTGCTCTTTGAAAATGGTTCCACTAATAGAATATTGTGCCTTGAAATGCCATTATATTTCCCAAGCATACACCATGTTTTGGTGGCAGGTACTAGTACATCGAAGCCCTTGAGTGTGCTCGACTTTAGACAAGCTGCAAGGAAGCACATATCATAGCATTATCGAAGTGCAGTTATGATTTCTGTTGTGATACTTTTTCTGATCAAAGTTTGTTGTTTAACGTGTTATTTTGTCATGCAGGCTGTTGTGATTGATGAAGTAGATAGTTTTCTTTTCCGGCCTCATCTGGTATTGCGAGCCAAGTATCATGCTGTATGTCTAAACTTTACTCCTGATCTTTTATGCATATCACACTAGATACTTCCTGATTGTATTTGTGTACACCTTTCGTCATATTCAAGTTCTTTTGGTCTGTGATATGATAATTCTTGTTCTACAGTGTCTATCCAAATTCTTCCCGTCATTGAGAAGCATAAATTTTTTATAGAAGTAAGACTAGCTGTAGATGTCATTTTTCACAGGTGACTAGGTCTGTTTTGTTTGGATTATGAGAACTGGTATATTGATGTGATCCTTGTCCTTTTTGTGATCTACTATTTTTGAAACATACTTTAGCTTTCATCTCTTGGCTTGGCCATTCTATGCTAATATGTTTATATTTCCTGTATATGAGTATACAACAATAAACTCAGGTGACCAGTCGTGTTGAATTTATTTGTTGTTCCAATTTTCTGTTAGTAACATCTCTAATTATGCTCATGCAGATATGTTGTTTTAAAGTCATCATCTCTAGATATTGCTGATGCAGAAGATGTAGTCCTTAAGTACATACCTTTAATTGTGACAGGTTAACTTTTTAAGCCAAATTCGCTTAAGTCACAGGGGGGATGGCCCAAAGGTGGCAAAGCGTTTGATAGATGTATATTTTGCCCTGTTTAAGGTATGATGTATATTTTGCTCTGTTTAAGGTATGATCTATAGCTGCCATAGTCATAAGTTCCTCCTGTGCGTCTTTGCTCTTCTTCTTCGTGGAGCTGAGAGCTTCATATTCTTATACTGAAGCTCATCAAGCATTTCTTGTCTAACTTCATGGAATATTTTTCTTTTCCTCCTTTTACCCCGATCAACATTTCAGGTATTAATATCTGAAGCAGGGGAAGGACGGACAATGAATAAGAAGAGCGAGGGACATAAGGAGGTTTCCGGCAATTCAAAAGATAAGAAAGAAAAAGATTCATCAGAATCTCATGTTGAAATGGATTCACGCTTACTATCCGCACTTCTTACGGTTCGTGTTGACTAGTCTATTTCTATTTCTTTTTTGTTAATTCTTATGGATCTGAACAAAGAGTAACGTCTATTTCCCAAAGGAGCTTTTGCATTTGTTGACTTGCTTGGTTTGTGGGGGTTAAAATGTAAAGTCTGAGCAACTGTAGGTCAGTAGTTCCTGCTTGGGCAATCCTCCTCCCTTTGAGCTAGCTTTTGGGGTGTGAGTTAGGCCTAAGACCTAATTTGCCACAAACTCGTAGTTCTATTATAAATTATTTACAAAAAATATATGTAAATAGTTGTTATATTTTAAAGATATTATTTTTCAATTTTTTTGTTTTACTAACCCCCCCCTTACTTTTGTTCTTCCACATACAACCACGTTTGCCCCTTTTACATTCCATGTCAAACAACTTTGCTTTACGGTTCTTCATTAGTATTAAACCGAGCTTGCTCAATCTTGGTAGCTTCTTGCATCAGTACTCATTGTTTCACGTTTATGCTGGATTAGAGAAAATAGTAATCTGCTTCATTTAGCACAACTTTCTCATTTGCAGGGTGTGAATAGAGCATTCCCTTTCGTTTCAAGTGATGAAGCTGATGATGTAATTCAGTCCCATACACCGGTATTGTTTCAGCTGGTAAGCATGGTTACTCATTCCATTGTTGGATAAGTATCTGATATTGTATAATATATTTTATCATCTTAATATTTGCTTGGAATGTGCAGGTTCATTCAAAGAACTTTAATGTTGGAGTTCAAGCTCTCATGCTCCTAGATAAGATCTCAGCAAAAAATCACATTGTTAGTGATCGGTTTTATCGTGCCTTGTATGCGAAGCTCCTACTACCAGCTGCAATGAATTCTTCCAAAGTACGTGGAAACCTTCATATTTATATTCTTCTTTCTGGTTTAACCTAAACTTTAATAGGGCAAACATACACTGCAGGAATTCCTTTCACCTCACCTTCTTGGTGCTTTTTATCAATACAATTACTAATTCTCAAAATAAAAGAATTAGAAAGAAGATTCCCTTCCCCTCTCGAACCAGAAAAAGGTTCATGTTTAGTTACGTCTTTCCTATTTTTGGAAATGTTTGTAAAAAGTCCAGGGTAATAGAAGTTTGAGCTATCTTCAATTAATACATTGATCCTTTAGTTTTTTTCTGGTGGGGGGGAGGGGAAAGAAAGAGAGTGGTAGATTAGCCTTTGTGTTGACATTCCTGAGGTCAAGATCTATATGGTGACACACTTGTTTCTAGTACATCTTCTTTTGTAATCTATGGTTTCTAGTCTTGTCTGTTGTAAGCTTTAGATGCACACCTGATTTGCAATTTTATGCTTGCAAAGGCATTTAGGATACTTGCTGATGTTTAAGTTTGATCGGTTGAAGCTTCATCTGCTCTTCTTGCCTTCATGATGATCCTTTTAAGCCCTTCAGCTCATTACCAGTGGCAGTTGAGCAGTGGATTTCTTGAACTTTGACATCTCTTTTTAGTTGTCCAGCGAATGTTGATTGTAACAGTAAAATTAGAGAAACCAGGGAAGATTTAGAGAATTTGTCAAGTATAATACTTCTGCACATTAAGAATAACTATCTTTCCGAAATTGACACGTAACTAACCATCTATCAGTAATGTGCTTTTTCATTACTAGGTAACTTTTGCAAAAAAGATACCACGGTTTAGAGATACCTCGTTTTCAAAACAATATCAAGTAGAATGGGTAAATGAGAATAGAAAATTGAAAATGCTGAGAGCCCGAGCAACCAAAGTTCTGGTGAAGCATCCATAATGTTCTTTTTGCTAGATATTCTTTGAAGAAGTCACGAATTTAAGAACCAAGATAGTCATTCACAAATGCTTCAATTTGTAGAGCAAATAAGCCCCAACACCAGAAAATCTAAGTCTTAAAGAATGAAGATACAAAGCAACTGTAAACCATGTTATGATGTATAAAGTGAGCTACAAAAGCTGACTTTCCCTGTATTTTATAGCTACATCTATATTGCTGTTTCTGTAACAGATCTTGAGAAGGTTAAGTTGTGAAGAATTAGATCATCCCATATTTTTTCTTAAAAGAAGTTTTAACAGATCTGTAACTTAGACATTTTCTTCTAATACTTCCACCCTTAGTTGTTACTTCTCTGCAACCTCCTCTTGCTGAGGATGGAAAACATGTGGAAGAGTTTTTTTTGTCCTGGGCTAAATTTGGTCACAGTTTATCACTTCTTGGCAATGCTGGTTAAACCTGTACTCATTCAATTGTGACCAGTTGTGCTTCAGTTTGGATCTAACCCTTGCATTACTTGCTGACTTATTCTATGCCTGATAATTGTCTGATGCATGTTCTGGTCGTATCTGCAGGAGGAACTGTTTATTGGACTCCTACTTAGGGCTATGAAAAATGATGTAAATGTGAAGCGAGTTGCTGCATTCTCGAAGCGTTTGTTGCAGGTTTGTGCAAGGTGTAAATTTGTTATTATGTGAAACCTAACATAGCAATATATGAGTACAGTACACTGAGGTGAGGTGTATTTAGGCAATTTTTTGTCAATTACTCTCCTGCAAGTATACAAGTTTAGGCTTCCATTAGTCTTATATAAATTTCATGGTTTACTGTTAAATAGCTATTCCCAAGTCACTGAAGAACTACACTAATTCAAACATAGTTCAGGGAAAATGAAGCTACTTGAAGCTGTATATTACATTCGTTCTTATGTTCATCAAGGAGCTGTACTCTTTTGGCCATGTGCTTGATATTCCGTTGAATTTGGTTTCAAAAAAACACATACTGTTATTGCCCTCTTGAGAATTTGTCTTTTTCCTTTCAAATTAACATTGATTGTCTGGTATTAACAGGTCGCAATTCTGCAGCAGTTTCAAAAACTGTTATTGCCCTCTTGAGAATTTGTTTTTCTTCTTTCAAATTAACATTGATTGTCTGGTATTAACAGGTTGCAATTCAGCAGCAGCCTCAGTACGCATGTGGGTGTCTGTTTCTCCTGTCTGAGGTCCTTAAATCAAAACCAACTCTCTGGTAGGGTTGCTAGGAACACTATCCATTGACAAAGTTTATGACATGGCTAAAGGATTTGTTTGCAATGTAATTGTCTCAACTTTTTCATGCAGGAACATGATGCTCCAGAGTGAGTCTGTTGATGAAGACCTTGAGCATTTTGAAGATATTACAGAAGAAGATGACAATCAACCCAATCCACCAAATCGAACAGATAATGCAAGTGAAGTTGCTCAAGAAGCTAAGCACTTAGAAAATGGCAATCATTCTCTGCCGGAAGAAGGTAATTCTAGTTCTGAGTCTGATGATGATTCACTCCAAGCTGAGGAGTCGCCTGCTAGAGGTGATTTAGATGAACCAAAGGATCCTAGATTGATGTCCGGTTTCAACAAACTTCTACCTGAAGGTTCAAATGATAAGCTCTTATTGCCTGGAGGATATGATACACGACACAGAGAACCTTCATTCTGGTACTGTTATTGTCTTCTTTCTGGCCTTAAATGCTTAATAAGTCTGCAATTTCACAAACAAAGATCAAATACTATCTTGCTTATCTTGCTGCCTTCTTTTGAAATGGCTATGATACCTTGCTTGGCTTGACACAAGGATTTTATAAAAAACACTAATGGTTGAAATATAAGTTTATTGTGGCTTCCTCTTTCTACATGACGGGGCTTGATTGGACACCGAAATTTCGGAAAGAAATAGAACATTTTGTACCTAAGTAAAAACTATATGGCATACCAAAAATTTCCTTAGTTCTTTTGGTCTACAACCTGCCATGTCACTTTTATAAGATCGTCTCATTTAGGGTCGTAAGCTAGCCTAGACACCACTATTATCCACAGAAAAAAAATAGAATATTTTAACAATTTCTCCTGAGTATACAGAAAATGTAATTCTTTTATTGACTTTTATGAATCGACAGCAATGCAGATCGTGTAAGCTGGTGGGAGCTGATGGTACTGGCATCGCATGCGCATCCATCAGTTGCAACCATGGCTAGAACCCTTCTTTCAGGAGCTAACATTGTGTACAATGGTAATCCCCTGAATGATCTTTCGCTGACTGCTTTCCTCGACAAATTCATGGAAAAGAAACCGAAACAAAGCACATGGCACGGTGCTTCTCAGATTGAACCAGCTAAGAAGGTTAGTATTTTCTAGATAACATAGGATATCTGTTATGTCTAATAGGTAATAGTATACCACTTCAGACTGGGGCTTTATTAGCTTGTTTCATCACATTTATCTCGTTTTTCTTGCAGCTTGACATGCAAGATCAGCTGATTGGGTCAGAAATTCTCTCCTTAGCTGAAACAGATGTACCACCTGAGGATCTTGTCTTCCATAAATTCTACGTGAATAAGATGAAGTCCTCGAAGAAACCAAAGAAGAAAAAGAAGAAGACAGTAGAAGATGATGCCGCTGAGGAATTTTTGGATGCAGATGGTAGCGATGTTGAAGATGAGATTGATGAAGATGCTGCTGATGAGAGTGAAAATGAGGAAATTGACAGCATGCTAGAGTCCGGTGTGCTTCCCTCGGAAGCTAATGGTGAATATGATTACAGTGATTTGGACGAAGTTGCTAATGAAGACGATGATGAATTGATTGGTGATGTCAGTGATGAGGATATGGCTACCCTTTTGGCACATGATGAATCTGACACTAATCTCGGCAGTGATGAAGACAATGATACAGAAAAGGCAAACGAAGATGTACATCAAAGAAAAAATAAAAGAAAGAAAGACAAGCGTGTTGCCGGAAAATCCCCATTTGCTAGCCTTGACGACTATGAACATTTGCTCAAGGAGGAGAGTCCAAAAGATCCCGCTAAATCAAGAAAGAAGAGAAAGAACTCAAATGAGCATTTGCTCAACGAGGAGACCCCAAAGGAGGATGCAAAAAAGCCCGCTAAATCAAGAAAGAAGAGGAAGAACTCGAATGAACATTTGGTCAACGAGGAGACCCCAAAAGAGAATGCGGAAAAGCCCACTAAATCAAGAAAGAAGAGGAAGAGTTCAAATTAAGTATTGTTGCTAATTTGCATGAAAGAGTTGCTGATTTTGATATCCTATCCTGACAGATTATCCCGAGATAGGTACAGGAACTCTTTCAATACCCCATAGTCACCTCACCCCATAGTCAGCTCTTGTGTTGTAATTTTAGCCGATAACACAGCATCATTCTTACTTCTTTTTCCTCTTTTTGTTGTTATGATAACTTTGGGAAACTCATATTTGCTTTGTCACAGTTCGTGTTATGATAACTTTGCAAAGTTCATTGTGCAACCATTATAGAAGGAAAAAGGGGGGGAAAAAGAAGAGGAACCAGCCAATGCCATACCATCTCTTCATTTTCTAATATAGTAGGACAAGAGTAGAAGATCAACTATACATCAAGGTACCCAAACCTAGTTGATGAAAATGCAAAATAAAGGTGACATTAGAGAGATACATTTGATAAAGCTGAACTAAGAGATTTATGATAACTTAATTCATGAAATTGCAACTTTAACAGTCTTAGCCTTAGATGGAGGAGGAAGCTTTTCAACTACAACAGTTAACACCCCATTCTCGCATTTCGCAGTAATAGCAGAAACATTGCAGGTATCGGGGAGCTTGAACTTCCTCATCAATTTGAGGGGTGGCTTCCTCTCCAACCTGACGTACTTGCATCCCTCTTCTTCACTCTCCTCACGCTTCCTCTTCCCGTTGTTTCGTATCACCAGCGTGTTCTCATCTTCCACAGTCACCTGTAACACATTTCAATCAATCAGTAATTAACTTCTGCTATTACAAACTCAGTGAAATTCAAGCTAGAAAAAAATGTTATTATTAATACAAAATTGAAGATGGTACCAACCTGAATATCAGATTTGGATAAACCAGGAACATCCATATAGAAAATGTACTCTTTTGGGGTATCCAGAATGTCCACGGGAATGCTACCCCTGTTTTCACTGCTCTCATTTGACCTAGAAGGAATCACCAGCCTCTCAATGGATTCTGGAAAGAGAAGTTGGCTCACCACATCCACAACAGTGCTCATTTTCACACAAATTATGGCTGATATTTCGGTTCGAATCTGAAGACTCTTTGCAGCTTACTGGAAAATCAAGAGTAGTAGAAATTCTCGACGAAAAGGGTGCAGCAACTTCTTATTTAAATTAGGGATAATGGTCTCTGGTGAAAGATACTTCTAGTACGTTCTTGCTCTTTCCTATTTTGACACGAAGCATCTAGAACATTTAGGAACTTGCCAGACATACGGACATTTGGCGCACCCTTATCATTGAGGAAAAACTCAAAATAGTCCTTTATCTTTGAGCTTAGATTCTAAAGTCATCTTTAATATTTCAAAGACATTAACTCAATCTTGAAATTAAAAAAATAATTAAATTGTCTTTTTTTTTATTTATCAAAAATAACAAGTAAAAAGGAATATCAAATTAAAAAATATTTGACCAGTAAATAAGGACGGAGAAGTGTAACTCAAGGGCTAAGGCTCAATCCGTCCTATTCCATAGTCATCTCTAAAAATGCACTCCAAAGTTCGTCGTATTAATATTGGAAAAATTACTCCCCATATGAGATTAAGATGATATATTACATTCTATGAACTATTAATTAATAATTAATAATATAACAAATTAATTACGAGTGACAGCAGATTCAAATTAATATAATATTAGATTAGTATGTCACTCTTAATATTTGCACCAAAGTCAAAACTTCTTAAAGAATTTGTTGAAAGAGTATGTTATACATAAAGTAAATTATATAAAATATATAGATCATATAAAATATAGAGATCAAAAAATATTTTTTCATATGGTACATAAATATATTAAATTTTAAATATTTTTAATTATATTTCTAACTCCACCACGATAATCAACTCTCCTTTCACAAGTTAAGAGACTCTCTCGTTGAAACATCTTGATTTGTCCAATGTATCAACTATCAAGGCAAAAATATTGAAAACCTACTTTATATATTTATGATAATTGTTGTCCATTTAGAAAATTCAGTATAGTTGACATATTTTTTTGAAGTGACATCATGAAAAATGCTAATACTATTTCAAAATGGCCATCGTTTTGACAAGTTGCAGTTGTATCAGCTTAATTAAATTGATGTGAAATTATTGGAGGGAAGAAGAATCTGTTTTTTTTTTTTTGCTCAATTATGACCGACGGTTTTATAATACTCCCTAGTTAATGGTCCCAATGAACAGTTTAATGACTTATAAGAAAATAATTCAATGGGTAGATCATAATTCACATCGTAATATTATGTCCCTACTTTTAATGATCATCATTGGTTGCATTCAATTTCAAGTAATATCGTGCGTACTCCCTCCGTTCACTTTTACTTATTGATTGATGTGTAGTTTTAAGTCTTGAAAAATGTTTTAGAAAATAAGTAATTAATATTAAAATAAAACATGAATTTTCTGTTTATATTTATCTCTTGATATGCTAAAACCATATCTATGTGATCAATGCATTTGAAAAATGATCATAACAAAAACCATCTAAAATTTTCAAATATTACAGCAACATGTAAATATAGATTACAATCCATCTCAGCAGGGAATAATGTACCCGGATAAAGAAGGAAATTATAATATACAAAGTTCTTCTATCCAAGTGCAGATCTAGCTGAATACAGATCGGATTGAATCATTTTAAGTACCGCAAAAATACTAGTAATATAATGTACTTTCATTTCACACGGCATAATGACCGTTATTCCAATCCCCTGATTTTTGGACTAACTCGATTGCTCCCACCAGCACAAGTAGCGACATTAAACATACGTTCCTCAAAAGCTTTAGTCTCATAAGGAATTCTCAAAATACCTTGATTGTGAAATCCATATTCTTCGGCGGATCGTGACAACATCTCCAAAAATTCAGCATCGTAGAGAGCCGTTGTATGTACCATAAACCGCTTTGATTCATTAAGGTTTATTCCAACGGCAACAGGAACATAACCTCTTGGTGTCATAACGGCACCTCCTCCCAGTTTTAGCCGTTTTCCAACCCCAATCAGCTTGCTCGCTTTAACGCCCATCAGAATCCGATTAATTCAGATTTGAAGAAATAATTTCTTTCTTTCTTGTGTTGTTAGTATAATTTCAAGGTACCAGGCCGTGCAAAGTGCCAGTACCTTGTGGGCTTCATTATATTAGGTAAAGGACTAATGACGTTTTACCTGTAGGGATAACGACACTAATTAATAATTAGATTAAGAAATTTCTTGGGTAATTTAAAATTATCCCTTTATTTTAAGTAGCAATTAGATAGAATTATATTATGGGAACAAATGGAATGCCGTAAACACAAAATTGATGTATTAGTATTTAGTCCAAAGTCTAGTATAGAACCAATAGACAATTACCAAACGTTTACTATGACGCCGTCCATGTTGACAGTATTACTATTTCGACAAATATTTTTATCTTAATATCTTTTATTTTTTTTACGTCGCGTCTCTTCTGAGTAATTTCTACTCAAGAATAGTACTAATCTTTATTACTGCTAGCAAACGTACCTAGTTGCAGTTTTTATGTTTATTTTTTCTGAAAAAGACATCTCAACTTGTTCGTTTTCTTTATATTTCTGGATATAGTAAGTGTTTTGGACTAGACGGCTATCCAATCGAGCTCCACACATAATGCTGGATGAGAAAGAAACCGGTCATTTAAAGTAATACATAAACATGACTCTTAACTTGATTTTAGCGGACAACTATCACTACAAAAAAATCAGCTTTTACCGACGAACGAAATCCGTTGCTAATCTATGATATTCCGTCGCTAAACATGATTAGCGACGGATTATTGACTGTTACTATATCGCTCGTTGATAATCTCTTAGTGACGAAAAATGTGTTCCGTCACAAATTTAGCGACGGACTAATCCGTCATTATATTTATAAATTCGTTGCTAATTTCACAATTCATTCCGTCATTTTTAATAAATTCGTGACAGATTTTTCGTCGCTAATCCGTCGCAACATATTCCGTCGTTTGAGCCAGCACATTTGGCGCAAAACAAGTTCGTCGCTGGTCCGTCGCCATATTTGTTGCTAAATTTTTTCTTGTAAATTTGATTTATTTTGTTTTCAATATGCTGCTGATATAATTCAAATTAAATTGCTAAATACCCCAAAAATAATAAACATATAAAATAATATCATAGATGGTTCAAAATATATAGAATATCGAAATCTCATATTTTTGATTCAAAACATCCAAAACAATATATCAACTGTTCTTAAAAGAACCTACATTAATCAAATATTTTTACTGCAGAATTTGTACTTTCCAAAAAAGCAGACAATAAAACAAAAAGGGATACGATTGTCACGTGAAACTAATTAAGGATCAACCTCGTCCTCATTAGTAGTAGCTGAAGGAGGCACTAAAGGTGTCACTGTTGATGGGTTATCAATGGGAGTACTCCCTTCTTGTACCCTCCCCATAACAACGGGAAGAAAGTGATTAGTAAGTGCAGGAAGCATTTGCTTTACAAACTTATCCATATTTGTTATCGATGTTGATTGAGAAATTGAAGGAAGTACTGATGATGAGGTAGAAAGTTTCTGCCCGTTGTAACTTTTGCTTCAGAATCAAGATCGTATATTCTTCTCTTCTTTTCTCCCCCTACAGCTTGATAAAATGCTTCACATTGATCAATATCAGCTTGAGACACTATTTTTTCCCGCAATATTTCTTCATATTTTTCCTGTATTAAGTAGAGGAAAAATGAAAGCATTAAACATTGGGAATAAAATATATTTTGAAGGCAAATACAAAAACATGCATAACCTTTTAAGCATTAGCATTAATGTACTAATTGGGCCTTCAAATTTCATGCTATGAAATTTAACAAACTATGGGATCTAATATATTTCAATTGGATCAAGTGAGCATATTGTGAGAGATCATGAGGGCACTTAGTTGCTAATTATGGCAACAGCTAGGCAGTCGAAGAACAAACCATCTATAAAGTGCAAGATCCTAATAGGAATGTGTTTTCGCTGCCTGTTGTCAAGAAATGGATCAGCAGCCCAATTTGGAGAACCAGAATTCATTTAGTGTTCATAAACAGATGCATTATCCATAGAGAATGATCAACTTCATACGAACATACCAACATTTCATCGAAATAAAGAAACAGAAGGAAGAATCAGACGACAGATCCGCAGAAGTTCCATTTCATGTATATGAACCATATGATCCCAACTAAGAAAACAACTCATTTCATACCTAAACAAAAGTAATACACACTATAGATATCAATATTTTCTGTTTTGATCTTTCACTGTTCAATTATTAGTATTTAACACAAATTGCTTAAACCTTTCAATTTCACCAAAGAACGGAATTTTCAAAAGCTCCTTAGCAGTTGGCGTGTCGTCTGGATTCTCTCTAAAAAAAGAAAGAACAATCTCCTCAAAATCCCGCAAAAATATCCTTTTCTTTTGTTTAGCAAAATCCATCACTTTCTTGAGTATCTTATCCCTCTTGATCATCATATTTTTAAGTGATTTTGGAAATTTCTTCATAACTACATAAGAAGCTTCTACAATATAATAATAGTGTTTTTGGCCAAAAACATCCTTACACTAAACGTATAATTTAAGGTGCATCCTTGAACTATGCTTGTTAACAAAAAGCATCCTTAAAGTGTAAAAAATTTGGCAGTTTTCATCCTGCTGTAATGCTCCGGCAAAAAACTAACAGCACCTACCCTTTGGCTGCAATTCACATGAATTTTCAATCCTAAAATCCCCAAATTACACAGAAAGAAGGTCGAGAAGAGAATGCTAAACAAGAAAGGAAACCCCCTATACAGAATTGGAGGCCAAAATTAAGCATGAAAGACAGTTGTAGAATGTGTATCCTGTTCAGCTAACACATCAGGTTTAAATGGAGCAACAAATCAAATTGAGAGTCTTATTGCAAATATTTCGGTAACAAACAGGTTTAATGGATTGATTGATACAGCTAATACTCAAATGTCCTCAAACTTTCATGCCCAAATCTTCTTTCTCAAGTGTCTCTGATTCTATGCACTGTTTAGTTTCAGTTTTTACTCTTTCTGACCAATACCATTATATCTACATTGGGTGATAAACATCAATTATCAATGGAGAAGATACTATAGAGGGCATG